GTGAACAAATACACATACACTTTCAGTGGAACACCATCTGAAGTACCTGTTAAAATTATTGGACCACTATAGTCTACACCTGTTACATCAAATGGTTTCACTAATTGTACACGCTCCTTTGGCAATGGTGTAGGACCTGGGTACATATAGGATCTGGCATCCACAGGGCGACATATTACACAATATTTAATCACCCTTTTTACACTTTGCCGTCCTTGTGGAATCCAGAAAGTTTCCCTGATACAATTTAAGGTGTCTTGTACCCCACCATGCATTACATTTTTATGGGCATTTAAAACAATTAAATTTGTTAGATGATGAGTTTTGGGCAGTAAGATAGGGTGTTTAGCATAATCACCCAATTTAGCATTTTGTAAACTACCTCTGCACCTAATTACATTGTTCTCTAAATACAGCCCCAATTTCTCTATTATGGAACCTTTTGCAATTTTTCTTTCCTTCATCAATTTAATCTCATTTCCATAGATTTCTTCTTGTACCCTCTTTATCCAATATTCAAGAGGATGTGAAAACTTATATGAGATATTCATCTTGTTTAGAAATTTAAACACCAACTTAGTTACATTGATTAGTTTGGGTAAAGAAGAATACCTATTTATATCAATGGCTAAGGAAGGACAAACTACTGGAGTGTGGTCACAGTAATTTCAACAGGAGCAATATATGCCTTTTGTACAGGCCAATTAGCTTTATTTACCAACCAGCTCGGTCCTTTAAACCATGATACAGCATTTACGAATTTAGCATAGGTAAACCTCGAGACAAGAAATCAGCTGGATTCTCCTCACCAGATATATGATTAAATGTTAAAATATGCTGACCCAAATATTATACTTCTCTTGCATCTGATTAATTTCAGCGACTCTGTTTTGTAGTACACAATTTTACTGTTTCCATTATGAATCCATTGTAAGGATACCTCATTATCAGACCAAATTACAGTGTTGTTAATATTTATTTCCTGCAACTGATTTCTTATATAATTAGCTAATTTGACACCTACATAAATGGCTGTTAATTCCAACTGAGGTAATGTACATGATTTAATTGGAGACACTTTAAACCTTAGACATAACAAAAGAAATAACACTATTACATTAAAGGTAAGCAACTGCTCCATATGCCAATTTTGAAGCATCGCAAAAAATGTGGAGTATATTTTTCCTATCTGGATTGGCCACTTGGCGTGGGAACTCCAACACTGGAATTTTTTCATAATCACCAATTAATTCATCCCACCTTTTAATGAATTCCTCAGGCAGAATTTCATCCCAAGCACATTTAAGTTTCCATGCTTCCTGTATTAATAATTTCCCTCTTATAGTAAGGGGTGACACTAAACCTAGTGGATCAAAACATTTGGAAACTTCAGAAAGCAAAACTCTCTTAGTTAATTTATTGGGGATACTGTAATTATTAGGTTTTAACATTAACAAATCTCTCTCAGTATCCCAAGTTAAACCCAATACATTACTATATTTTGGCACTTCATCTCCAGGGTAATCTTTACTTATTTTGTCCTTTAATTTGGACGAATTACTATTCCATTCCCTCAGAGGCATATTTGCATTTTGCATTATTTTATTAGCCTCTCCATAAGTCTTTGACAGTTCCTCTTCAGTTGACGTCACACCCAGGAAATTGTCCACATGAAATTGTTTGCTCATTACTTTACTCAATGGACTTTCCATACGTTTAAGGTGTGCATTTATCGTCGCTTGAAGTAGGAATGGACTGGATGTAGCACCAAATAATACGCTCCTAAAGCAAAAGGTTTTCAGAGGGCTAAGTGGGTCACTAGGGTTCTCAGGCCATAAGAAGCGGGTACAATCCCGGTCAGCCTCTTGTAAACCCACTCTTAGGAAAGCTTTACTTATGTTAGCCGTAAAGGCATAATGCTTCACCCTGACATTTAATAAGATATCTCTTAATATTTCCGTCAACGACGGACCTGTCAACAAACAGTCATTTAAACTAGGTACATTTTTGTTACTCCTGGCACTACAATTAAACACAATCCTCAAAGGAGTGGTCTTAGAATCCTTCTTCACTCCGTGATGTGGCAAATAGTGACCATAAATTTTGGCTTGCTCAGGAGGTACCTCTTCTATAAATTTATTAAATTTAAATTTTGAGTAATTTTTTTTCATTTTTGGCGTCAACAATTCTGGTTTCTTTTCTCATTCGCGGAGCTGAGCCTTTTAAAATTTCATTTTTTATTAACAAATAATTCCATCAAATTACCTACAAAAATACTGTATTTTTTCCCAAATTAAGTATTTTTCCCCAGCACAGTTTTTGGGAAAACTGACACCAATGGAAGGCGCGCCCTGGCAACACCCTGATACCAATGGGGACACATGCAAAGGTAACACTGATACCAGATGGGGAAACCCCATGCCCGGTAACACTCCTTACAAAATGGAGAAATCTATGGAAAACGAACCAGATGGGGGGCACATGCTAGGCAACACTCTGATACCAGATAGGAGGCATAGTTACGGTAAAACTGATAAAAAAATGGGAGACACAGCTTGGTAACACTTATTGGTACCAGATAGGAGGCACATGCCATGGTAACACTGATACCGATGGGGGCACATGCTATGGGAAACATGATACCAAAGGAGAAAGTTTTGGTAACACTGGACCAAAATGAGGCACATGCATGGTAAACCCATCGTTACCAGATGGGGCACACCAGGTAAAACAAAAAAAAAAAAAGATACCAGATGGGGCACATGTTATGGTAACACTGATACCCATGGGAGGGACATGTTATGGAACAATATCTGATACCAGTGGAGGGACAGTTATGCACATTTATGGTAAAAACGATCCAGAGGGAGGGACTACCCTGGGAAAACTGATACCAATGGAGATACAGTTAGGTAACACAGAAACCAGTAGGGAATCACATGCCATGCAAAACACCTGATACCAATAGGGGGACACATGCTGGGAACACTGATACCAGAGGGGAACCACATGCCTGGAACACTCTCTATACCCAAAGGGAGACAATGCATGGGAACACTGATACCAGATGGGAGGCACAGCTATGGCAACACTCTCAATACCAAAGGGAGACCATGCTAGGTAAACTGTAGCGGGTGGGGGCCCAGCTAAGGTAACACTCTCGATACAAATAGAGACACATGCATGGTAGCACTCCTGATCCAGATGGAGGCACATGCTATGGTAACAAGATACAAAGGGGGAACTTTATGGGAAAAAACCCGGGACCCGATGTGACGCACATCTATGGTAACACATTGTTACCCGATGGGAGGCACATGCTTGGTAAAAACTCTCTGATACCGTGGGGGCAAGCTATGGGAAAACCCTGTTACCAGATAGGAGGCCATGCTATGGGAACACTCGTTTCCCGATGAAGGCAATGCTATGGTAACAAATCTTTTACCAAAGGGGGGCACTCTAGGTAACACTTCTGTTACCCGATGGGAGGCCATGCATAGTAACACTCTCTTTTAACAATGGGAGACACATGCTATGGTAACACTCTCGACACCGAAGGAGAAAAACTGTTACAGTAACAATGATACCCCTGGAGGCACAGTTTGGTAACACTGAAAACCAGATGGGAACACAGTTATGGTAACACTGGACCCCGAGTTAGGCACATCTATGGTAACACGATACCAGATGGGTGCACATGTTTCAGAACACTGATACCAAAAAATGGAAGGCACATGTTAAGGTAAAATATCTGATACAATGGGAGGCCCCGCTATGGTAATAATATCTGATCCCAAAAGGGGGCCAGTTTTTGGAACACGAACCAATGGGGGGGCACATACAAGGTAACACGATACCAGACGGGAGATACATGTTATGGTAACCGGTACCATATGTGGGCATATGCAAAGGTAACACTACTATACCAGATGGGGGGGGAAGTTATAGTAACACTGATACCAGATGGGAGACACAGTTATGGGAACACTGAACCCAAAAGAGGGCCCAAAAGCCATGGTAAACCCCCTCATCCAGATGTCAGACAATGCAAAAAATAAAGCTGATACCAATGGGGGCACAGCTAAAGGTTACACGATAAAAATGGGAGGCAAATGCTACGGACACTGATACCTGAGGGAAGCACATGCTAGGTAACACGATACCAGATTTGAAGACGTCATGGTAACACTTCTGATACCAGATGGGGGACACATGCTTTTTAACACTATACCAGTTGGAGGGAAAATTCTATGGAAAGCCTCTGAACCAATGGGAGACAGATCTATGAAAACACCTGATACCAGATGGGAGACACGTGCTAGGTAACATGAACCAATGGGGGGAACATGCATGGTAACCTGAATCAGATGGGAGACCATTCTGGTAACATGAAAACCCAAAAGGGGGGCACCTGTAACACTCTCGAACCAATGGGAGCACATTGTTGAAACATTCTGCCGAAGGGGGCTTTCTAGGAAAACCCCTACCAGATGGAGGGACTTACTATGGTAACACGAACCGAAGGAAGCACATGCCATGGTAACACTCTCTGATACCAGATGGGAGACACATGCTATGGTAATACTGATACCAGACGGGAGATACATGTTTTGGAAACACTGGTAACCTTATGTGGGGCATATGCTATGGTAACACTATCTGATACCAGATGGGAGGCACATGTTATAGTAACACTGATACCAAATGGGAGGCACATGCTATGGTAACTGTGGAGAAATTTTCTCCAGGAGGGGGGTATCACCCCCTTCACCCCTTTCCCCCTGAGGGCCCACCCTCTCAGAAGGGGCAAGCACTTTTACTGCTACAGCAAGAAATTTGACCCCCAATGCATACGATAGGACGGGTTGCTTCGACCGATCTTCTGCAGACTCCGTGTTGTAAAGTGTTTTTTAATAAAGACAGCCATCTCGCCTTAGCAGGACAATAAAAAATCCACCCCACTTATTTCCATGGAAAAACAAGTGTACATTTTTGTCTAGCTTAAGAAGCAAAAATCAACCATTTGCTTTGCTTCATCAGAATGGCAAGGAAGCAAAAGGACTAGGTCAGTTTTTCCTTTATGGGAAGGGCATGATGGAGGGGCGCTGTGGCGTCTTCAATTTTTTAAAAATTTATGGGGACACGACCCAGGAAAACCCAAACAAAACATTGTGCATTAGTGTGAAAAAAGTGCCTCAAAAACAAAATAAACACTTTGGAAAAGTGTGATAGCTTCTTAGTGATTTGTGTGAACAATTATTATGAACAGTGTAACAACGATTTTTCGATCCAACAATAGCGGACCTTTGAGTCCCAACACGTAAGTTTTCAGCCACAGGAAATAAATACGACAAAAACCCCCTAGGGAATTTATTGTTTACAAATTATAACTCATTTCAGCCCGTTGGGGAATGACTTCGACAGCTTTCATGACCCCGTCTGCAGGGGTGGCTGTGCAGGCAATGAGTTGTCTTTCTAAGTTAAGTTTTCCCCAAAATTTTAAACTTAGCTGATAACCCTTTCTCAACAGTAACACTGATACCAATGAGAAGCACTCTGGGTAACACGATAACCCAAATTTAGCACATGCATGGCAAAAATATCTGATACCAAGGGAGAAATCTTGGTAACACCCATAACCAAAAGGGGGCCCCCATGCCATGGTAAACACCTCTAACCAAGGGAAAGCATACCATGGTAACAAAAAAAACCCCCAAAAACCCGATGGGGGGCCAGCCATGGAAAAAATCTCTGATATCATATGGGGATACATGCTTGTAACACTGATACCAATGAGAGGTCTGCTTGGTAACACTCCTGATACCAATGGGAACACAGAGGTAACACTTTCGAGAAGAAGCGCATGCCATGGTAAATTCTCTATACCAGATGGAGATACATCTATGGGAACAATGAACAAAAGGGAAGCACATGTCTGGGAACACTCTCTGATACCCGATGGGAACACAGCTATGGTAACCTGATACAAGATGGGAGGTACTCCTTGAAACACTCTGATACCAATGGGAGATACATGCATAGTAAACAAATGCCAATGGGGCACAGCTATAGTAAACGAAAACCAAATGGGAAGTACTTTCCAGGTAACACTGATACCCAAAGGGAGACACATTCCCTGGTAAAACTGTACCCCAAAAGGGGGGGATATGCTATGGCAAAACTCTCTGATACCAGATGGGAGACACATGCTATAGTACCACTGATGCCAAATAGGAGGTACATGCTACAGAAACACTGATACCAGATGTGAGACACATGTTATGGTAACACTGATACCTAATGGGGCACATGCTATAGTAACACTGATACCAGATGGGAGACACATGCCATGTTAACACTGATACCAGAAGGGAGCACATGCTTTGTAACACTGATACCAGATGGGAGGCACATGTTATGGTAACACTCTCTGATACCAGATGGGAGACATGCCATGGTAACACTCTCTTATACCAGATGGGAGACACATGCTATGGTAACACTCTCTGATGCCAGATGGGGAGCACATGCTATGGTAACACTCTATGATACCAGATGGGAGGCACATGCCATGGTAACACTCTCTGTTACCAGATGGGAGGCACATGCTATGGTAATACTCTCAGATTCCCAAGGGGAGGTACAGCTCTGGTAAATTTCCTGTTCCCGGGATGTGACCTGCCATTGTAACACACAATGATCCCCGGAGGGGAGACACATGCTAGGTAACACTGATCCAATGGGGGCACTGCGGGAAAGACCCTTTCCAGAGGGAGCAATCTATGTAACACTCATTTTTACCAGATGGGAGACACATGCTATGGTAAAAGATACCAGAAAAAGGCACTTTAGGGAAAAACACTCTCTGATACCAAGGGGAGACACATGCTAAGGTAACACTAATAACAATGGCGGGCAACTTTGGTAAACTGATACCGAGGGGAATCACATGCTATTTTAAAACACTCTCTGGTAAAAAGGGGCAGCACAGCATGGAAAACACCTCGGGCCCAAAAAGGGAACATCATGGAACACCCTCTGATCCCAGAGGGGAGACCATTTTGAAAACACGATCCAGAGGGAGGCACAGTTTTGAACACTCCTGATACCAGATGGGAGGCACATGCATGAAACACTTTTGTCCCAGATTTCCTCAAAAAATCTAGGTAACACTCTCTGATCCAAGGAGGCACATGCTATGAAACCACTCTTGGTACCAGAGGGGAGGCAATGCTATGGAAACACCTCTATACCAGATGGGGGCACATTTGTGGAAACACAATACCAATTGGAGGCACACTTTGGAAACACGGGTACCACAGGGGAAGCACATCTAGGTAACACGTACCAATGGGAGGCACATGCTATGGAAACACTGTCCAGAGGGGAGGCACATGCTATGGTAACACTGAACCAGAGGGGGAGGCACAGCAAGTAACACTGGTACCAATGGGAGCAATGCATATAACACTGATACCAGTGGGGACACAGCTATGGTAACACTGATACTTTGGGGGGCACATGCTATGGTAACACGATACCAATGGAGGCTCATGCACGTATTATGAAAACCAGATGGGAGTCCATATTTATGGTAACACTCTCTGATACGGTGGAGGCACTGCTGGGAAACACGTCCCAGATGGGGGGAAAAAGTTATGGTTAAACTGATCCCAAAAGGGAGGCACAGCATGGTAACACAAATGCAGCACTAATGAATTAAAAGGGTGAGGAACAGATACAGAGTTAAAATGGAGCAAAGGCAAAGCACTATTGCTAAAAAATTGAAGAGTATAAGCATAACCCCAGAAAGCTCTGGCAACAACTAAAACAGTTGGGGTATAGCATAAGCCAGTAGATAGGTCTAACATAGTACTCACTATCGATAATGAGGTATGCCACGAAACATCTAAGGTGGCAAATTGCTTTAATTCCTACTACACATCTGTTGCATCAACACTAGTAAGTAAACTACCAGCTGCATCAAATACCTTTAACACAGACTCTGATAAGTTTCAAACATACTATACCAATAAAGGGGTAACCCCAAACAGTTGTCTAACTAGTAAGTGTATCTCATGACTTTATTCAAAAAGAACTAAGCAGGTTAAACCCAACTAAGAGCACCGGCCCTGATAACATCCCGTCTAAGTTCCTAAAGATGGTGCTTCTGAACTGTCAATCCCTATTGCTCACATATTAAATCTCATCAATCACCACAAATACCGTACCGGAGGGGTTCAAGGAGGCCAGAGTTACTCCTATCTTCAAGAAAAATAGTAGGTCTGATGTAAGCAACTATAGGCCTGTTAGTATACTCAGTATAATATCTAAAATTCTAGAGGTGGTGTATTCTCAAGTAGTTAAGTTGCAAACTCCTACTGTATGCAGATGACAGTGCTCTGTTAGTGACAGGTAAAGACCCACAAGATATAGCTAATGTTTTAACACTGGAACTGGAGTCCTGCAGCAAATGGTTAGTAGACAACAAACTATCATTACACCTAGGGAAAACTGAAGCCATTTTCTTTGGCACGAAACATAAACTGAGAAGGGTAAATAATTTTAATGTTCAATGTAATGGGGAGCCCATCACTTTGGTTTCATCAGTAAAATATCTGGGAATCCCCTTTGACCCATGCATGTCAGGAGAATTGATAGGGAACAGTGTAGTAAAGAAAGCGAATGCCAGACTGAAGTTCCTGTATAGACAAGCACAGTGTCTACCTGCTGAGGCTCGCAGGACCCTATGTCTAGCCCTTATACAATGCCATATGGATTACGCTTGCTCTTCATGGTACTCTGCCTTGACAAAAAAAACTGAAAGATAGACTGCAAATCACCCAGAACAAAATCGTAAGATTCATCCTGGGGCTGGACCAAGAGAACATGTAGGCCAGGATGAATTACAGCAGTTGGATATGCTGAATGTTGAAGACAGAGTAAAACAACTGAAGCTAAATCATGTTTATAAATTTGCTCACAAACAGTGTCCAGAATATCTTGCTGCTAATTTGTCAAGGTTGGGAACCAAAGCAATCATAGTACTAGGGGGAGAGAGCACAACTTTGTAGTACCCACAGTCATTGGTCAGGCTTCAAACACCTTTTATTGTACAGCAATAAAGGAATGGAACAGACTACCTGCACATGTCAAAGCCAGTCATAGCATGAACCAGTTCAAGAAGAGTGCCAAAAGGTGTCTGATGAATGTAGCTACAAAAATGAGGGAATGATTTTCTATTTTTTAGCTAACATACGTGTAAATTTTAAACCCTTATTCCTAGTAAAAGACCCCGTATTGTAGATAGTCTTAATGACCCTCGTGTAGTAGATAGTCTTTTTAGTATGATAATAAGATGTTTATTTCTT